CCGGCGGCAGCGCCTTTTGCTGCTGCTGCTGCTTTAGCGGCTTCCGGCTGCTGCTGCTGCTGCTCTGGAGGGACAAGCACACCGTGGAACAGCCCGTGCTGCAGATGGCTGCTTGCAGCAGCTACTTGGGAATTCATTGCTGCTGCTGCTGCTGCTGCTGCTGCTTGCAGAGAAGGGGAAGGTCAGCAGCAAGAAGGGCGCAGCAGCACTGAAGGCGCTGCAGGCTGCTGCAGCAAATGATGACGAGGACGACGAGGACGACGAGGTGCATTTTAGTTTATTTTATTTCTGTCCCTGCTGCCAATCTGCTGCTGCTGCTGGTCTTTCTGCTGCTGCTGCTGCAAGGTGGGTGTGGGGTGTTGGGGTGTATGTACAGGACGATGAGGACGATGAAGACGACGACGAGGAAGGAAGCGAAGACGAAAGTGGAGAAGAAGACGAAGAAGAATCTGAAGAAGAAGAGGAAGCTCCGAAGCAGCAGCAGCAGCAAGACAAGAAGAGGAAGCAGCAGCAGCAGCAGAAGCAGCAGCAGCAACCCAACAAGAAGGGTACGCTGCTGCAGCAACGTGAATGCTTTCTTTCTTCTCTTCCTCCCTGCCACATATACACTTTAACAACACTATAAATGCGACTGTGGCCGCTTCCTTGTGTCCAGTGCTTCCCGTTTCTGCTGCTTCTGCTGCTACTGCAGCAAAGAACCAGGGAGGCGAGGCGAACACGAGCAGCAGCGGGGACGAAGCTTCTTACCGGAACGCGCTGGTGGACTTCTTGAAGAAAAATGGGCCAACGCCGTTGGCGTCTTTGGGGCAGAAGGTGAAGAAGCCGGCGAGTTTGCCGAAGATGGCTGCTTTCCTGAAGGCGAATTCGGACAAGTTCGCGGTGGAGGGGGGGAAGTGCTCGTTGAAATGAGGAGTTTCGGGGGAATTTGAGCTGCATTTGCGTTATAAATGCATAATTGTTGCTTTGTAATTGCAAATTCGAAGCTTTGCAGTTTGAATTCGACGGGATCGCCGAGGTTCAAATCGGAAATGAAGCTGACGGGAAGCGCTGGGGTGTACAGACACCTCGCGCGCAGCGGTTCTTGCACGAAACCACCAACATTAATTCTTTTCATTTGATCTTTTCCATTTCTTGTTGCAAACGCCATTACTTGTTGCAGATACCATTTCTTGTTGCAAATGCCATTTCTCGTTGCAGATACCATTTCTTGTTGCAGATACCATTTCTTGTTGCAGATACCGTTTCTTGTTGCAAACAGCATTTCTCGTTTAGAATCAATTCGAACGTCTCACGCCCGGGATCGCGGCGCAGCAGCTGCCGCCTGCCTCTCCTGGGCTTTTCTTCTCTTTGGTCAACTGCCACGTGGCTGCTCTTTCTTGTCGTTTCCCTTCGAGTTTCCCACTTCACTTAGGAATGCTAGCAAAAGAAGCGTATTTAGGCATTTATTTGGACGTCTAGCTAGTTGGGGCTGTGGGTTGCTGCAGCAGTTGCTGCGGAGTGTGGTAGGTGTTGAGGCCAAAAGAGTAAAAAGTTGGAATTTCTTGCCCGAAAATAAATTTGCGATCCGTCGCGTTTCCCTTGCTGCAGCAGCAGCGGCAGCGGCTGCCCGGTTCCGCGCTGCTGCTGCTGCTGCTCGCATGCGACAAGCGGCGTCCCGGAGCCCCGGCGAAACAAGCAAGCGAGCACCAAACAAGCACTACCCCGCACCCGC